TTCCTTATATCAGTCTAATCAGCTAATTACTTTTTTTAAGCTTCAGTAAAACAAAATGAAAAACTTTAATGCAATTTTTTATTTTTTTATATATATATATGCCTTACACCATTTATTATAGAAGAGTATATAAACTTTGAACGGACGCATGGCACACCCAAAAAGACTATCCATTTGTCCATTTGTCCATTTGTCTGACTGTCTATTCGTCTTGTTTTCTTGCGTTTAACGTATAAGTCGCAATTTTTGAAAATTTTTTCTTGAAATTTGCTGCATCGACATGTTTTAGCTAAAAGACGAATGCTATTGAAAATCATTTGGCTCGGATCAGTTTTTCGGCCACTTCTCATATAACATCTTATTTTGACAAATCCTTATAACGTGTCGCTGTATTAAGTGATGTTATATAAGCTATTTAAGGCTGAATCGTCTTTTTTTTCTTTTTTGATTTTAAATAAAGATAATTATGGTGGCATTTTAAAAATCGCATGCTACATAAATATAGGCATCATACATATAAGTTATTACGTTAGAGGATATTTAACGCAGAGCATACGTACGCAAACGTTACATAAACCGATAGTCCAAAGAAAACCGTAATCAGGATAATGTAATCGAACACAATATGAACTGTTATATAAACCGTTCATTTTAAAAGTGAGGCAAGTCCAACTTTTTTTTTTTCAATATATGCATATATTTCACGATTTACATTTGAATAACAATATCGATAAGCACTAATATAGATGCACTCTTTGTATTTTTGTGTCATTGTATGACACTGCAAAACTAAAAAGCTTTTCATAATTAAATCGACTTGCCTCACTTTCCAAATTAATGAGTAATATTTCAGTTCTATCAAGTTTAATTTTTTTTTTTTTTTTTTTTTATGCTACCAATAACAAGCAGATAATATTCAATTTTATGTAAATATTTATCTTGTTTGGTGAATGTCCTGTCATTCTGAACCACCATATGCTTAACTAGTTCACAATTTCTCGATCGGTATTTTTCTATCATACACTTAGAAACGTATTATGTTCTCGACGACGTGGTATATAGTGTACTATATATAATGTATAGTGGATTCTTTTTTTTCAAATTGTCATTTTTATCGAATCAAACTCGCGATCGTTCGTCGGGAATGAATGCCATGATATTGGGCTAAACAATTCTCGGTTACTATAAGACCGATGCTAGGATGCTAGTCCTATAAGCTATGAGATCCTTTTGAATTTGGTTAACAATTAGTAAGTGCTTCGAACACTAGAACAACTACTTCTTGTTATCCTCTGGATTTTATAATTTCATCGCAAATAAATGCCTTAACTTGATCATACTAGGAATTGTGGTAACCTTCATTCTCTTCCTAGATGGACCTTAATCATTTGCACTGTTCTAGATGACCAAGACTATATAACCATATCTAATATCGGTTCATCAAACATATAACTATCGCCTCCTATACATTGTGTAAATAAATTGAGAAAGTGGGTGTGTAAAGGCTACCGGATAACTTAGGCCATATGATCGTCTGTATTGAAAATACTGTCGCACTTGAGCTTTGAACCCACGACCTTTGCATATTCGACTACTCATGCGGTTATCTATAAATAATGGCAAGGTCCAAGCAATGTATTAAAAAAGAATAGTTTTTCCAAATTTCAATTAGAAATTGATTTCGTTTACGTTTACTTTCGGAACCATTGTATGTTTCGATAAAATTCCTATTTCATTAAAAAATCCATATCACAAAGCTTAATAATCGAAATATTCGTCATCATCATCTAAGGTCTTTTGTCTCTTCTTTGGGTAGCTTACGGAAGAACTCGCAGTAAAAACTTCGTAGTTTCGAGATGAAATACTCATCGACCCATTTTCGTATATGTTTACCTTGGGAGAGCCACTGGTATGCCCTAATTACGATTACATCGATCTGAAGAATTGGCCATCGGAAGACGGCAGGTTATCGTTCACTTTCCGAGTTGCCTATGCTGTAGACGAACAGACGTTTTCATGATGCAAAATTACTATTTAAATTCCCTTGCTCCTGATACATGATGCTACGCGTGAAACACATTTGACAAACTTAATATAATTAAATTATAAGAACATACGCAGAGCGTAACAGGTAAACGCCGACTTTCAGTTTTTCTTTTTTGAACCAGATCACATCACATATTCAAAAGGTAAAATGCACACATACGTAGATGTAAATATGGTACTTAAATGAACAAAGGCGAGGTAGTAAATATCCTAATGTCGATTGTAGAGGATTGTAAAAATTGCGATATAACTTAAAGGGGAATGAAAACAAAAAACTTCGGAGCAAATTTGCTTTTGCAAGCAAAGGCTTAACATCGTCATTGGGGAGACGATTAAGATGTTTCGGCGATTTCCATTAATTGAATACGCATTGCGTGTGAAAGCAGATGAAATGCTACATGCCGTTAATGTCATCTATTGATGATGGTTACCTCAACTGGAAAGATACATCTTTCCATGGTGCTCTGCGCTATAAGCACCGTAACTGGCGTTACTTACTTACTGCTCTGCAAGTCACAGTTTCATTTTTGTATTTTTTTTATCGGTATAATGCTTTCCTTGCAGCAGCAAATGCGTTCCATAACGCATTAAAGTGAAATTTGTATTTAAAAAATCAGTTACAAGCTCCACTTTTTCGCAACTTTTAATCATCACCGTCAATTTGTTCGGAAGCGAGCGGAAACAGACCTTTTAAAGATGTTCATGCGCATCACCAAAAGCCGAAGGGTAAAGAACGGTTTGCAACGCCCAGAGGTAAGCTTCAGAAACCTCATAAAGTGTATACGTTTTTGTTGACTATCAAATGCTAAAGCATGTCCACCTGTCCGTCCATGCAATAATCTGTTGTACATTCTCTTGGCCGCAAAAATAAATCTATCGACTTGAAATTAGGCACAAACAGTGGAATTTCTTGCACGCAGGTTGGTATTGAAAATGGGCGATACCGAACGAAAGACGCGGCTACAGTATCACAACTCCATTTTTCAAAAGGAGTAAAAGATTGGCTTTCTACTCATTACTCATAAGCTGCGGCAAACAAGACTACAATGTGAACAATGCTGTAATGCCTGTACAAGTATATTATAGCATATCAAAATTTAAGGGTTTTTTTCAGGATCAAGCTCCAAAAATGCCAAATATGAAATGCATTTAAGCGTGTCAGTCTGTTCGGCTATCCATCTCGTCCGTGCGGTCAACGGTGTCGTATCTTTCGTTCGCGAAAAAGCGAGATATATTCTGCAAATTTACAAAAAAGTTTGAAAATGTTTGGCCCAAACAGGTCAAAGAACACGCCTGCAACGCCCATGCGTTTATACAACCGAAACCGAGAACATTTTTCCTTTCCGTGTCTTCATGCACGGTCCTCATGGACTATACTAAAGATAAGCGATGTAAATATTCATAAAATTATTCTACAAAAATGGAAAAAATTAGCCACTCCCACCCAAGGCAAATATCGATTTTTTCCTTTTTGACCCAGTCGCAATCGAATTTCGTTTTGTTACTTGTTTCATTTTTTTTGCTTTTAATTTTAATACATATTTTAGCCAATCGTCTGCTGTATTTATGGAAAGTTTTGCATGGTGTCCTTAGTCATAACGAACTGCGAACAAACGTTTCGTTTTCACATATGAAGCAACGAAGACAAAACTTCTTGGAAAGGTGGCCCTTTTCAACTCTGGCAACAATGATATATAAAGGCTACACTGAGATATGATTACATCGATTAAAATTCTTGTTTGTCTTCCCAAGAGGCTATAAAATCAAATTAAAATTCAATCCAAGCATGCTATGCTCACGATAGCTTAATGATTAGCTTAACAGAAACGTATACCTTGTGCTTAAAAAAAAAAAAAAAAAAAACGAATTTGTTGGCAGAATTTCATCTTTTATTGAAAAAGGGTACCAAGGTAACGCTTGCATCTTTACAGTACCATACAAAAAAAGTATACTCCTTAACGAATCCGACTTTTAAGAAGAAGATTATTATACAATTTTTATGAAGCCTTTAAATTATAAGCGAAAAGCAATTAGATTTCCTGAAGCTCGAATACATTGATATTATCAGGTAATACGCTGCACTACACTCCTCCGGGATATGCTGCCGTTGCAATCTTTGAAATTTAATATTACAAAGGTTAAGTTTTTCATACTAAATTGGTCAAAAATAAATTACGTAAGGAGGTTACCTAAATTCATTTGAAACGTCGTACAATTAGGTTGCGTGATGTCAGCGCTAACCAAATTCAATGCACAACGCGAAAAGGGAAACATTTTTTTAAAATCTAAGCTCGAAGTTTCTATTCATCTAACCAACCGACTATTCATCTTCAATTCCTTATAATATCTCCTAATGAAATAGGAAACTTTTCGTAACTTTGTAGCACTTTTCTAAATGCGTAAAATTGCTGGACTACTGCAGCGTCAGAGAATATTATCGCACAATTATTACAAAGGTCTCGATACGTAAACAAAGATTCTGATAAGTAAGGGAATGATTATAAATCAATCGTTGACCAAATATATATATATATCGTTCAGAACAAAAAAGAAAAAACCGCCATGTCTAAGGTCCCGTTTTCGAACTCCATCGGTTTTAATTGTTTTATTTTTCATTTCAGCTGCGGAAACTTTTGAAATTTCAATAATGAAAAATCGGACAGAGAGACAGATATAGCTAAATCGACTCTTAATTTTTCATTAAATTAATGGTAAATTTTTTCTCAGGATATTACCTCGAAATTAGGAAATATTCCTCGACAACTACTCTAGGTTGATAGGCGTAAAAGTACATTATCCATAAAAAAAAGTGACATGAATTCGATATATGCATGTATCACCAAAAAAAAAAAAAATAAAAAATTAAATTGGTAAATAAGGAAAGCCTTCTATTCCCTTTCCTTTGACTTAAATGCCTTTTTTAATTTGTTTTCTTTCAATTTTTATTAACTTACCGTTGGGTCTGAACATCGTGGACATTTGCAAGTAAAATTTTTCTTCATCTTCAAGAATAAATGGCGCGCAATATTTCCGGTAAACAATTTTGTATACGTTGTAGTGATTTCCGTGCCCTCTGGTAAATCGATCGACGCTCGTAATACCATATAATTGGTTTTATCTTCGAACATGTAATACGAATTTGGTACGCAATCATGATTAACAATAGCGAATAATGGGAATAAAGCTCGATAGAAAAATTCTTGATTATCGTTGGTACGATCGGCGGTCTCATCAAAGCCATTTGTACGCAATACAGCTACTGTACGATTCATTAATTCAATCAATTTCTTATCGGTCGGAAATTTATTAAAGCATTTTGCCGCATTGCGTACCTCGGTGCGATGATTGTTATCCAAATTCGCCTGTAAGCAATAAATTAAATCGCGTTGTTCCTTCGATAAATTGATGGCACGCGCAACGCATATTAAACGTATGATAACCGAATTGGCGACATCGGGCTCAATCGGCTCCCACGATTTTAAAAGGGCACATTCATCCTTATGCTGCTTTTTCTTTGCGCATACCGAACAAACTGGTAAAGCGCAGCCCTGACGGCACATAAATTTCGTATCGGGTAGCACTTTAAAGCATATTGAGCAAGAGTTGAGAGTGTCCTCTTGACGTGCTGCTAAGCCTATCAATATCGGTATATCACGGAATATGATATCGCCGCGTTTCAATTTGCGTGTAGTGAAGACGCCGCGACCGGCTATTTTCGAAACCGCTATCTCCCAAGCAGGATCCTTATCCTTTAGCGATTCCAAGTGCAGCTCCAACAACTCAGCTGTACGTTTCGGACAAATCATTATTGAATCCTTTTACACTTTTGCTGCTCTTATTTATTTAATATTTTTTTTATTTATTTAATGCAATTATTTATTTATTTATTTTTTGTTTTTTAATTATAATTTTTTTATTTGTTTGTTTTGTTTTCTTCTTTATTGTTGTTGTTTCTTTAAATGTTTTTTTTTTTTTTAATCCTTCAAGAGTTGTTTGTTTCATGCACATGAAGCACTTTTCGAAATTAAGATCATTTGTGATATGTTAATCCGGCACTTCAACGCTACTACGCGCTCGCTTGCTAACTGTCTCCTTTTTCCAGTCTTCATAAGACTTATATTTAAAATTTAGTCTATTCGTATTTTTATTAAAATATCTTGAGTGCAGAAATGAGGTAAAAATCTCTTGCGCTCTTTTCTCTGAATTTTCTGAATTTATAATATCTTGTACTAAATTCTTTGTTTTTGTAATCTTTTTTGGTTTTTTTCTTTTTTTTTTTTTTTTTTTGTAATCTTTTGGCATTACATTTGTTTCGGATGCTCTTCTCACCACGATCGGCAACTTAGAAAATATTTTTGAATAAAAAATGCGCTGAATTTTTCATTTTCAAAGTAAGTAAAAATAAAATTGTGTCCAATGTAATTCAACAAGTTTGTTAAAAATTTTTAAATGAAATAATTTACATAAATTAACAGCAACAATATGCATAAATAATTTTCAACAGTTTTTTTTTTTTTTTTTTTTTTTTTTTTTTGCATTCACTCATCAATTATAGTGCACCGGGCACTATTTTGAAAAATAAATCGAAAATCAATGCAAGTTAATGAACGCCTTCGTAAATTTTCTTATTAAGTTTTAACAAAACGATAAATTCCAAATCGAAAAATGACAAGCAAACATTAATGATACATGTAAGGTTGTTGTCACGTTCATGTCGTTTGTGTTTATTTTCTTATTTCAGCATATCAACGCATCATTGTCACCATGATGAATAACACAAAACGTAAATATGTCTAAAATATATTTGGTTTATGGATGATGTCAAGCAAAGTATGAAAGGAATGTTTGCAACATTTTTTTTTTTTTTTTTATTCGGGAATTTCAACAGACTACAGGTGAGAAATTGTTGCTGATTTTAATAACAGAGCTCAACCGTCATAGTTGAGAGAAAAATTAAATGAAAAGGAAACAAGTAAAAATCCCGTAGAGAGTCACGGCTCATCATTAAAAGCCCTACACCGTCCTACAATCGGCTTTGCTAAATAAGACATTAAATGTGAAATGGTCGAACAAGAGGTCCAATTCAACACATTTTCAATAGCATTCCTCTTTGGGTCAAAATGTGTCGATAAATTGAACGCAACGATAGGCGACGTGCAGACGGACAGACAAGCTTAGATTAGAAGCACTTTCTAAATTAATCGGTTTATCAAGCGGATGGTGTCAAGTCCGCACAAACTTTATATACATTCTTGTACCATAAGTGATATATAATTACACCCGATTTTACCGAATATTCTCATAATTACAACAATTATCAACATAACATGCTAGGCAAGCAAACTCGCTCTAATCTATGGCAATAACCTAACGTATATTGCATACCATTGGTCATATCGCAGCTTTTTACCGCAAACATTTTTTTTTTTTTTTGCAGTAAGAAGTATAATTTTTCTTCGCATATTGCAATTGCTTTCCCTTAAGCGAATGCGATGGCATTCTATCCTAATGCCATTGTGTTATTGCCTTCGAGTAGCTCATAACGGCATCTAATATCATGGAAAAGGAAAGATCATTCATTTACTTACTTGGATACTATCGGAGCTGGTAGTTGTTTCGCGTCGTCGTAGATCGAACCGAAAACTTCGCTATTATTCTAAATAAATCTTTATGGCCAATGAGTATTGATTTAAAAGAAGACATTTCCCGGAGAAAGCAAACAATGACTGCCATCTGGATCACCTACTTCTGTATTGTCACTGCCTATAATATCATAAGCCCCCCTTTGTTAACTCCTTTGTCTCCTACTAGTACAAAAAAAAAGGTTACTGGTCTCAACGCCAAGTCACGTGACACCTGTGTAAACTCCATTGATTGTTTGCATCACACATTGGTTTTCACTGAAACGTGATTGAACACTAGGTTAGATGATGCCGAAATTTTAAATTCTGACTAACAGGTGTTTAGGAGAGATACACTGGCCAGAACACGGGATGGTGTTCTTATTGCTGTTTATAGAGCTTGCTAACTGCAAGCCTAGTGAAAGTTTATAATGTGCGCAATCTTGAGTTTATATATAAAATATTTTACCTGGATATTGCCTGCTCCTGTATACCGCCTTCATCGGATATTTCTGTTTATCTTTAACGTTTGCCGATAGTAATTTGAAATGGAAATTTAGTGATAAATTGATGACTTCAAATGGGGGGAGGACTTAGGCTATTTTACGTCAATTTCATATCCAGGTTTACTGAGTTCTTCGACATCATTTTTGAATAATGTCTATATCACCTAAATAATGTCTACAGTGTCAATAGGAATTTGTTAGGTCTGGTGTTTTCTAATAACGAAAATCTATATGTCTCGCGGGTAGATCCGTTCGTTTGTCCGAAAGACAGTCACCATCCTACCTTAATACTATTATTTAACGATTGGTTTAATGTTAGGGATGGAATGGATGGATGGCTCTATTAGTCTCAATAATACGGGTAACACTACACCAAATATTAGAAGAACAACTTATAATATTCTTAATGATTTCATGTCGTCTGTCATCTGGAACCTGGATTATAATCATATAATCAATATATTTTCATGGGTTATCTCTGCAGTTTGGTTTAATACTCAATTGGTTAAGCTTCGCAATAAAAAAAACGTAGACTATCTATGAAATTTAAGCGAAATCATCAGTCACTACAACCGCTATTCTAATACTCATCGTAATTATATATAATTCCCTGAAGAATAGATGTTACTTGCTTATTATTAGGGGGCAATTACTGGCTAATCCCAAGAAATTTTTTTTGGATTCTATTGATTCGAAATGAAAAAGCATCGGCTTTGCCTTGTCTAATTTAAATAAAATTACTGGCTATTTTCCGACATTTTTTCAGATACAATATATTGTATATACTTTGGCTCAGTTGTAGCTATCCATATCAGATTGATTCGTTTGATATATTCCCACGCTTTAAATTTACGGAGAAAGAAGTATTTGACGCATTATTGTCTCTTAAACATTTGATATATATCAGGGGTCAGATAGGTTACCCTCTTGTATTATTCGTGCATGAGCCGCTGTATTAGTAACACCGATGACGAAGATATATTAATAAATGTCTGTCGGCGCGATATTTTCCATCTATTTGGAAATCAAAGCTTAATCATTCCGCTTCATAAACAAGCAATCGGGCATTGCCGACTATTACATAGCATACACCACTTTGCCTAGTACCGTTGTTCGCGTGTTTTGATAATAATGCTCCAAAAAGTACACATTATTTTCACGTAAAGGCATAATTTTCGTCAAAAACCCGCGTATTAGCAGTTTAGACTTTCTCTCCATATGAGCATTTGCTTTGTTTCATGACAGCGCCTATATATGTTGGGGTCCAAAAAAAAATAGATTTATGTGATCGAAATTCACTGCCGTAGCTAAAACGTTACTACGAATTAGTTTTCATCATAAAATACAAAAAAATTAACCCGTTTTTCCGAAGAACTTCTTACTCATGGAATATCTTATATGAAGTGCGGGCAAGAAATATACCCATATGCTTCAAATTAGATCAACGTCATTTTTTTATTTAACTGCTATCGTGCACAAATTTTCATCATAAAAAAATTTTAACCAAAATATCGCAAAAATCGCGACCTGCAACTTGAACACAAAAATACATGAACAGATATCCGATGGATAGACGGACATACGGGGTTAGATCGTCTTAGAAAATGATTCCGAATTGATTGGTATAATAAAAGATGGATCCATTTGGGTGTTACATAAGTTAGCACAAATCTAATTTACTTTGTACGAAAACTGATGTAGGGTATAACAATTACCGCGACTCGCTTTATAGTAATGGAAATCAGACCATAACAGTAATTTAACGCAAAAACATTAATTGTAGCAAATTTAGATCAACTTGGCCAATTTTTTTTCAATCCCACCCTAATAAGAATTTTCACGTAAATCGATCCTTTGTATAACAATGATAATCTCTAATTCTTCGAATACAATAATCGATATTTCTGAAGGGTATTTATGTTAATTAAAACATTTTTTCTGACCAAAAATGCATTACCACGTTTTCATTAAATCGACTTTTGAGTGGCTATAAGGCTAAGAGCAATTCGAAAGTTTGGGACAAAATTTATATTCTGAGATGAACTTTTTGGAGCTAATTATGAATTCCGCTCTAGAATTATATATATATATCAATTTGCGATCTCTATCATATTGTAATACGGCTGAGTCTTTCTTTGGCAGATGCAGCACGGAACGCACGTTGAAGAATGAAATCGTTGTAGAAGAAGGATGAGGAAAAATTATTTAAACATGAAAGGATGTTTGCATGATCCTGGAATATTGATGTAATAAGAAATAGGTAAGGACCGGCCATTAGATACCTCACACTACTTGTGGTATAGGGTATATTAAGTTTGTGCGAATATATGTAACATTCAGAAGGGTTGAAGATCGCCACACCTTTTATTATGCAAATCAATTCGGAAACATTTTCTGGGCCGATCTAAGCCTGGCACGTTTAGGTGCATTCCAAATTTGAAACTGGCCAAGAATTTGTATACTCTATGGTGCGTTATAAAGATATTGAAAAGTAAATTAAATTTTGATACACTATAATGTTGGATGGGCATGGTCAATTGTGTCAATTTTTGTGCACAAATGTTACAGCATCGCCCACAGAATATGCGTTCAAATTTTTGTATATTTATTTACTGCAGGTTTTTTTAGCCCTTTTAGCAAATGACGATATTCTCATCCTATGTAGTACTGTGGGCGTGTCCTTTGACCGATTCTGTCCATTTTCAATACAAATCTGCCAACCAAGAACTTCTAATGTTTCTCCAATGTTTCAATTTCAAGCCGATAGCTTCACTT